CCCGCCCCGTTGCCATCCCTAAATGATATAGACTAAACAACATGAAAAACATCACAAAAAAAGGTAAATTCAAACTTATGCATGAGATGTGTTGACGTTGGAAATTGTATGAACAAAATTCAAGTCAACTTAGAACGCAATTAAGAACTTGATTGATCGTTGATCAAAAGCTTACAAGCGTTAATACAATTATTCCCTTCTCTTTTTGAAGGAGGTATTTGAAATATGAATATGTAGCAATACTTGTAATGTAAAGTTCTGTCCCCTTTCTCCTCTTTCCTCTTTTTCCTTTTATAAGGGGGAATCTGCATGTATTCTTTATTTTCTCATCTTATCAGCTACAATGTTGAGCTGAGAAAGTATACTTACTGGCATGTTTGGATTGGTTAACGAGCTCGGCCTGTCAGATCATCGTGAGTTAACTTTACATGTGGTTTTCAACAATTAATGAGTTACATAGGAAAGGAAGCTAAAGCATCTCATTGGCGCAATTAGTGGGAGCTGATGCAAGACCTTCTATATGTTACTTGTCGATTGACCGCTAGTATAATGTGTAAGAAATCTTCAATCATTATGTTCCCTTCGGCCTCGATAAATTACATATTCCGAGTGACCTCATATACTGAGCTCACATTATCGATCTCGGAGGTCGGATGCCAACAGTTACCCCCCAGGCCATTGCTTGCCTAGGTGATAGACTGACCTTGAAAGTGTTTTAGCACATTTTTCTATTTCTGTAATCATTACAGCAATAAATGGTGTGAACAGCTGTCACATCGTAACTTGTGAGTGAGCTGTGATGCATAGTTTATTTCTTCCTCTAGAAGTTTCATCAAAACGACGTCGTCCTGGGTAATTAGATCGGCCATCCATTTTTCCCTCAATTTCTTCATCCTACTGTTCAGATTGCGTCCTTTAGTATTCTTCTCCCTTAAATGAATTTTACAATTTCTTTTTTTTTTTTTTAGCTTTTTCCTCTCTGCACTTTTGCTCCCAAAATTTTTTCTTCGCGCCCTTCTTTACTTTTCGAGTGAGGTCGTCTATATTCAGGTATTCCCCTTAACAAGAATACCTTTCATTTTCCTTTGTGTTGTATCTTACCTCGGTATTTTATATGAGTTCGGACGAATCGAGGGTACAATCCTAGAGTGACCAACAGTTGGAAACAGTACCCTCTTCGTCTTCTCCTTCGTTTAGCTCGTCCTTCGTGTTAGGTATTTAATGTAATTGACAAATCTGTGAACAAAAGAGACTTAAATTGATATGTTGTAAAAGTCAAGGAGTAATGTACAAATAGTAGAAAGTTATGTTATATTAGGTCTAGAGTTCGAGAGTGGAAAAGAAGGAAAAACGGCGTCGGAATATCGCTAGCTTATCGTCAAGGTTTAGCTCAAGCGTCAGAAACAGAAACTGCGTCGCCCACCTGTAGCCTTGCCTTCGCTCGAGCGACAACCTGTCGCTCGATTGTCGCTCACCCTTCGCTCGAACGACAGTGCTATCTAGGAATTTTTTAATTCGTTTTTAAAGGCATTTGTCCGATCCATTCATTCCTTAACCTAACCTATGAATACCAAACGCCACAGAATGGTTTTTCTAAGGTTGATCATTAAGAAAACACTTAACTTTTCATATTCTTCATCAATTACTTTTCAATCTTCATTATTAACATAGTGATCTATTCTTGGTGGTGAGAAAAACATCAGATTCATAATCCAAATACTAAACTGCTACTTTCTTTATATCTGTCAGAGTTTCTGAAGATCAAGGAAAGGTGACTGGAGTTCCAGTAGTCGAAGAACGCGATTTTCTTCGTGCATCCACAGGAGATAGACTATTTCACAAAGTTAGGAGTTGCTGCAGGAGAGCACAATCCAGGAGAGATTTGGAAATTACAGCTGGGTGTTGGTGCAGGAGCACAGAATCTAGGAGAGCTGTTGGAATTACAGTCAAGAGATCGGATAATATGTGTCGTCGTCTAATCTGATAGATTGTAAGTTATAAATCGATTATAGTGGATTGTTGACTGGTAAAGTGTACGGAGTTTTTACGCTGTTGGATTTCTCCATGATCAATTTTGTGTTATTTATTGCTTTCATAATTGCGGTAATTCAACGTAGGAAATATGAATTGCATGATTAACCATTTAGAAAATAATTAATAGTGATTTGTTGCTATTTAATTATAAAGTAATTATAATTCCGCATAATCACCTAGTCACCACCTTCTAGGTGTTGTTAGGCTCGAACTACGTATTTTCAATTGGTATCAGATCCTTAATTTAATTCTTGACCCTTAATAAATTTTAGATGAGTTAGTCATTGTCCGTGCCTCTGTTTTTCGACGGAAGCAACTATATTTATTGGAAAGTTCGAATGAGAGCATTCTTTAAAGTTTTAAATGAACGTATTTGGATTACCGTTCAAAAAGGGTGGACTCCACCTTCAATTACTGTTGCTGGTGTAGTTACACTCACTAATATTTCATTATGGACTAAAGATGACTTAACTGAGTGTAATTTAGAGGTGGCAACGAGCCGAGCCGGGAAAAAAAAGCTCAGGCCGAGCCCGAGCTTTTTTGGACCGAGCTTTTTTTGGCCCGAGCCGAGCCGAGCCGGGCCCGGCCAAAAAAAATGAGGCTCGGCCCGAGCTTTAGGCTCGAGCCTTAGCGGGCCGAGCCGGCTCGGTCTTTTTTTTTT